ATTAAAAAAAAAAAAAAAAAAAAATCAAGAAAAGGAAAGTTGAAATAAAGAACAAACACATTTTTATTTCTGTATGTTAGAGTTACTTTGAATTTTATGAATTCATGTGTTTGGGGCCGACTGCTCCATATTCTTACTCATGTTGGGAAGTCATCCTTGTGCAATTAGCCCTATTCAAGCTGGCCTTTAAAAATAGTTGTAATGTTTGAAAAACTATCCAGTTAAATTGGGTTTGAAATGCAAAATAAAGTATCTTCTGGCCTAAATCTGAAAGGCAACATTTTAGTCAAAAGCTGAAAAGCATGGTCACCTTTCTAGACTCTCGAACAAGACCACTCATGTGAATAAGTACTTCCCAGTATGAGTAAAAGTTGGAAAACTGGACCCTTTATTAATAGCTCTCATGGGAACAAGATACTATCAATATTCAGTATGGTAATTCAATCAGTTTCATTGTTACTCTGAAGACTAAACATGATACTGAGAATTCATTCAGTTCATTTTAGGTACAGGGATGGAAACCAACCATCAGTAGTGCAAGACCCTTCTGGGGCAGGTTTTTGCGAATATGGGATTGGTGGACTACTTGAATCTGACATGTCTTCATCTTCCTCTTCATCTTCCATTTCATTAACAGTTTGGTTATTAGAAAAATCCAGGGTTCCATTCTGCGAGTAACGATGCACCAACTCTTTGTCCAGTTCTTCCACCTTTGGTTTTACATCTGAGCAAAAATATAAAACAGAACCACCCCTGTATTAGTTCAGGTCAGAGCAATGGCAGACAAATACCACAACTCCCTTCCAAGAGGCACATAAATTAAATATGGATTTTATGTCCAAAAATGAGTTGAGCTATAATATTTTCTTTAGCAAAAAAAATGACAACTGAAACGTGCCATACTTGCATGGTTACCTTCCGGCAAGAAAGGAGGCTGATCAGGGTCCAGGTAGAGCTGTGAGAAGATTGGCCGTGGGACAACACTGCTACATCTCAGAGAGGCTTCTATAGAGTTGTGAAGAGCTTCTTCAAAGCGGGCAGATTTCAGTTGCCCTGCATATGAATTCCCCATTATCTGTTAGCAAAAAAATGCAAGAAAAAAGAGAATAGTTTAGTTTGTTAAGGGGGTGAAGAATTGCATACACAGACCCTTTATTCAAACAGGTCACTTATGAATTAATAAATATCCGGCAGGATAAACATTAGCAGTGGCATTTAGTAGTTAATGAAAAATGTAGTGAAAACAACAACATCTTGAAATAGTACTGTTTGTTCCTGTTTGTGTCTGAGTTTGGAAGCTTCTGTGTCTGCTTGTTTCAATAAGAGCTCTTACTGCAGTTAGCAGAGCTCATAAATGCTGGTTTGTTTACCATTTCTCCCCATAATATTAATCTCAACTGCTTCAAAAACCTATCTGATATAGAATTTGTTTGAGGACAGATAAAAATATCTAAAGTGGGGATGAGAAAAATATGGGCCACAGGCCAAAACCAGCCCACCAATTAATTGTATATGGCCCATGGCAGCCCCCGCCATACTCTGCATTGGGCCAAGCCCTACCTACCCCTGCCCAAGGCAGCCCACACTGCACTCCCACATCTGCCCATCCCACACACGCTGACAGCCCTACCCCCGCCCTGGCCAGCATGCACAGCTTCCCAGCAGAGTTGCTCCCGCTCGGGTACTGCTTGGTTCCCCCCACCTCCAGCAGGTCCTCCTCCTCCTGCCCCTGTTGTGTTTTGAGCAGCAGGTAGTGCAGGGAAGAAGCAGTGGCCATGGGCATGCATGCCAGGCACCACATGTCCAGCCAGGCATCAGGGAAGCTGCAGCCAGGGGGCTCCTGCCCCAGTACACAGGCCTCCAGCTCCCACATGCCTTCCAGCCACTCGGTTGCCTACAAGTGGTTGTTCATCGTGCTATTGAGCTATTATGCAATTACCTCTATATACACTACTCAAAAAAAACATATATCAGGACAAAAAATATTTTTGGAATAAAATATGTTAATAGTAAATGCTTGATTTTTAATATTTTTAATTTATAATTTGTTAAAATGATTTTTTTGGAAAGATTTTACATGTGTGGCCCTTGACAGCTAACCAAAACACAAGTGGCCCACCAGCCAAAATAACTGCCCACCCCTGATCTAAAGAGATGCAAATGCAGTTTTAGCATACAAGACATATAGTCTAGTCTTTGTTTTCTTATCTCTTGGAGATTTTTTGCATATATTATGGCAGAGAACATACAACATATTGAATTCACAGATTAACTTACTTCAATAATTGTCCAAAAACATGTCCACAAGATTTTATCTAGGGCAGGATTGTCAACCTGTGGTCCACAGGGCAGATCCAGCCCCCAGTGGCAATCACCAGCAAGTAGAAGTGGTGGAAGGTGGCAGCATTCAGAGGTAGGAGGTAGAATTGGAGGCACACAGCCAGCAGCTCACCAGTATGGAAGCCCCCTGGAGAGTCTGCACTGCTCTATTACAGCTACAGTTTTTTATTGCCACTGAACCCTCCCATGGCAATTGGCCAACAGGAGGAGGGTGCGAGAGTGCCCACGAGGTTTTGGAAACATTGGCCCAGGGTGATATTCAGTGGCAGGCAGCAGGAAACAAATTGGCAAAGGAAGCAGCTGGATTGCAACAGTGGCCAGCAGCATTCCCTCTAAGCTGCATGGTGTGCATGGCCGCGCAAGTGCACCTGGTAGCATGGCATGAGTGCACCTGCTCATGCCGGGCATCTTAGAGAGAATGCTGGTGGCCAGCCTTAGGGCCAAACTTCATTACTTGAGCCTGCCTGTTGTAAAACATTGAGAACCTCTGGCCTAGGGGGCTGTTATGTTAGCCAAGCAATTGGGTGCAGAGACACCTAATAATCTTGTCAGCTGCCATTGTTGAAGTCTAGTAAAAATAGCTAAAAGGTGAGTATATTATTATTATATTATTAATAATCATTTTCCCTTAAATGTTTCACTTTTTATACCCTGCTTCCTCAGGGTTTTGTTGCATTTCTCCTATAATATCTCAGCAGGAACTACTAAACTGATGCCTCCAGTAGCGTTACGTGATCTTTCAAATTTAAATGCCAAGTGACAATGAAGCCAAAGAAGATTTTAAAATGACCTGAAGACAACATGCTAGATTATAACTCTACTGTTGTATTGAGCCATTATCACATACAACATATATTGTACAGATACAATAAAAATCTAGTATCCACCACAGAATACAAATGATTGATTTCTTGTAATATGTTTTTCCAGTAAAGTTAACTTGTGGCTATGTATTTAATTGGGGGGGGGAGGGACAGGAAATAAGACAGGAACCAATGCAGTATATAAACTGCAATATATAAACATGACCTTAGCTCATGACTCTCTTCCACCTTCCTTGTGTCTTCTAATATTATAACCCGGGAAGCAGTGTGCCAAGTGGCTAGAACACAGGACTAGAATTTGGGAGACCTGGGTTCTATTCCTGGCTTAGTCATTAGGTTGCTGGGTAACATCAGGAAAGTTACATCACCTCTCTCTAACTCAGATTCTCTGGCTATAAAAAGGGGACAATGGTACTGACCTCCTGTACAAAACCTGTTAAAAAAATCTACTGATGACATTCATTATATGAGAGCTAGAGATCATGTTCTCCATTAGCAGGGACATTAAGACAGGCAGGATGGTTAGGATGCCAGATTAGACAGACTGACTCTTGTCTTCATTCTACATGTAAGGTCCCATGTATGCATATAGAAATGATCTATGCATTACAATATAGGTGTAGCAGGAGGCTGAGCTCAGACCTTGCTATGCTTGCACCTCGAGGCAAGTCTGGCCAGGAGAGACAGTCACTGAGAGTGCTGGAGCCAGGCGAAAATGCCAATTTGGCACCAAATGGGTTAAACCGCGCGCACCACCAGCAGGCAGCTGGGACCAGCTCCCATAAGACTGAAGGATTTCTGGTCCTCCTCAAAAAGGAAGTGGCCCAACTTACAAGAGCCATGGAAAGGGGAAAGCAAGGGGAGGGGAGACAAGTACCTTGTGGAAGCGCAAATGAGACACAGAGAAAGGAGAAGAACTCTGGCTTTGGAAGGCTGACACTGAGACTGCCGCTGCAGAGACTTCTCCCAGCCTAGTAGGAAGGAAATCTCTTCTGATAGCGAGCAAAGGGAATCCTGGTCTTTGTTGAAGATGGACAATTAACGGGCCTGAATTGATTACACAAGAAATGGGGAAGTCAAGAAACTGATGGACTGTATTGTGCAAGGCAATGAAATCAATTAAAGCCTGATCAAAGCAGATAATTGGTTAATTAGAGCATGGACTCTATTATACAATGTGTTAAAATTAATTAGGGGCTGATACAGTAAGAAAACTGATTGATTGGGGGGCCTATTGGATTGAGAAGGACCCAAATAAACCTGGAGGGATATTTATGGGTTATTGTCCCTAGGGAGGACTCAGGTAGGATAACTGGGTCAGGAGACAGTTAAATTAATTCAGAACCTAACTGACTCACACCTAACAAAGTGCCTGACTGGAGAAGGACCAAAAAGGTCACATCAACAGGGAAATGCAGGAGACGCCTTGAAGTTACCCTCATTGCTCAAAGTAAGGCACACTAGTAGGGAGGGAAAGACTGCAGCAAGACTTGGATAGGTTACAGGGGTGGGCTAGCAAAAACAGGATGTGCTTCAATACTGATAAGTGCAGGGTGCTGCACTTGGGCAGCAAGAATCAGCAGCACACTTATAAGATGGGAAACTCCCTTCTTGAGAG